CTAATTGTAGCCCCAGTCAAGGGACTACTAGGTCTGGCAGTGAAAAAGAAAATTGTGGTGAAGTAGGGAATGCCTGTAAGTTCCCCACTTGAATTATCTTTTTAATTGTAATTGGTCTCACAGGTGTAGCCCATTCATCAAAAGTGATAGTTGCTCAGGGTTTTTGGTTGGAACTCCACCTGCAGGCCAGAGAGGGTGAAGCTCATCTGAAGATTTCTGAACTTTAGCTTTTGCTAATACAACCAAAGAATTGAATTTTTAGCAGCCCTGCCATCAGTTTGCAGTTGTCTTTTAATCCATTTTGTTAGCTCTTTGAGTTCAAGTTCTACCACTTCCAGGTTCCTTTAGAAAGTTGTATCTTCAGCAAACATATTAAAAGCCTGTGCTACTTTAAACCGAGGATAGCTTGGCAACCAGCATCTACAGTTCATTTTCACCTCTTTTATGTGAATCATCTTTCTTCTTTCTAAATAATGTCTTAGTCATGTGTTTAGCTAATAATGAGTTGGGGGTCCTCTGAACAATCTCACTACTGACACTGATTGCACTGATGGTGACAGTTAAACGAAGTTCAGTTGCTAAAGAGGACTTGCAGGACCCAAATGACAATGTTTACAAATCTACAGTTCATTGCAGGAAAAGGATAAAATATACCAACAACATTAAAACCAGGATATGTGTCATAGCCACAGGCTGGCCTAACAGTATAGGGTCCAGAGAGGCCAGGTTCTAAGTCTAATTGTCCTCTCTCTGCAAGGACCACACCAAGATGCATTGTGTCTCTTGAATTGAGCCACTGATATGAAGACAAAACACCACAGAAACCAGGGAGCACAAATTAGAGTTTCAGCCAAGGTTTCTTATATCCTGCTGGTATTCTTGGCATATTCTTCCTATGTAGCCAGCCCCAAACGCAGTTGGCCTCTGCATGTCTCACCAAGACCAGGTAAAAATAGTCAGTGTTATTATTAGCAATAAACAATGGTGATAACCTGTAACCCATGCTATACATTAACACATGCCACTTTTTTTCATTGCTTTGACCAGGGCTCTGTATTATGTAGATATTTTAGCAAATTATCTCATGCTAACTCCAGACCCTTTGGAATTAACTCTCACTGCACAAATGACTACATCAATGCACATTGACTTTCTTGCTGTGCAGATTTGCTTGGAAGGTCTTTCAACCTTAAGTGTAAGCTGTCTGTAGAATGGTATGAATTCCACAATAGTCTCCTCTCCTCACAAGCACCTTCTGCTGCCTGGACAAGAAAAGTCAGCAGACACACAGCAGTTCTTCCACCATTACCCCCTCCTTTCTCTGTCTGTGCTAATTAGGTTACAGAATTATTTATGTATCAACATAGAATATCTGGGTTGACCCATAGCATGAGCTTATGGTTATATGAATAGCATGAGACTTTTTTTCACAGCTAACAGACTTTTTGGTGCTTTTCATTTCTCCTGTTACTGTCATTAGTATGCAATGTAGAATGGTTTTACTTTTCTGTAAAGTCAGTAAGGACACCTTCTGCCACCTACCTTTCTGCCTTTCAATGTATACCTCCATGATAAATCAGGAAACCTAGGTGTCCTGCTATAACACCCAGAGCAAGTCTCCACATCTCTGGTGTCAGTTCCCCCAACTAAAAAGTGATTATAAAGGTGCTTTCTAGCTCTAAAAGTCTATTATTCTGTAAAAAAATAAAATCTATCTCAGCTCCGCATTTGTAGCATACATAGAAGGGAATATAATTTGCATTTGAACCTAGAAGGTTGAAAGTATGATTAGGTGTTAGGAACTATTAGTGAGATCCTTGTGCTTAAATCCCCCCACCCCCGTCATTGTTTGCTTTTTATGCACATCTAGGAGGATCCTGGAGAGCCAGTCATTTTTGTCTTGTTCCCACCCTCTCTCACCCCCACAACCCTCATGCACGAGGGGCACCACCAAATGGTCCCTATTCTTCAATGGCTTCAAAGTCTATAGCATCCTCTACTGTAAAAATATTTTTGAAAGAGAGGGTATATTAGAATACTTGGTCTTTTATACAGCTTTAAAAATATATCTGCTAGTGAATATGCTAAAGATACATATTTTTTCAAATGGAAATTCCTAGCTTGAGGAAAAAGGATAGTTTCACAAAACTGTGTTTGCTGGTTGCTTATTGAAACTTCTAGAAATAGCTAATCATTATGTTTAATGTTTCATCAAAAAATCTCGGTGTATTCGAGATGCTCATTTTGAAAAGCTTTATGCCTGTGTGGCAATTAAATTGTCCCTATTGATTTTCTCACCTCTTTTCGGGCCCATAGCATGGGCTGTGTGTACCTAAATAGAAGTCTTTTAAAAATTGTTCCATGAAAGTGGTGTTCTGTTTGATATGTGTGTTTTGGGAAATGTGTTCCTCAATCTTCCATGATGGATTGTTCTGTGTTTAACTACATCCGATTTTAGCAGAAGCACACTGCATGGTATATCTCTTCTGTGTCATCATTTTCTGCTCCTATAATTTCAGAGCTATTGCTTTGCCCCCCTCTGCAGCTATTTATACTCCAAATTTTGTGTTCTATGTGTTACCCATTCACCTGTACAGAGATAAGTACAGACCCAATAACATGAAATTCATGCAATTTTGCTTTGTTTGTTTCCATCATATGGGTAAGTTAGACTCCTAATACAAAAGTGAGTCTAAAAATTCTCACTTGTTAGTTCTTATATCCTTGAATTAGAAGTGAAATATTTGTAATGTTTAACGTATAGTAACAAAAAAGAAAACAATAGAAAAAACTTCAAACCACCCATGGCTTCCTTCAATATATAAAGAAACATGTTGGGAATATTGGTTTTTGGAAGAAATCCATTCCTCCTCTCTTGCAATAATGGGACTGGTGTGCTGTGTTTCTAAGTGTTCTCACTACCTGCACTTGAAAATGTGCTGTCTGAGGAAGTGAAACACACAGGAGAGAGAGAATGAAAATTTGAGTCTTTTGTCCCTGGACCTCTCTCCAGCCTCCCATGCAGTCCCTATTCAGCCTTGTCCTCTTCATGTCCTCGTGGGTGCTTGCATTGTTCTTTTTTTGTTTTTTACTCTTTTTTCCACCTGACTCCTTCTCAAATCAATCTCCCAGGTTATGTTCTTTTCTGCTACTTTAGACAAAGTCTTGGCTTCGATGAAAAGAGATCATTTCTCTATCTTTAGAGTAATTCAAAGCAAAAAGAAAGGGGCCTTCCCTTTCATAAAAGGAGTACTAGTCCAGGACATTTTAGGGAAACTGGTACATGGGAACACAGAGCTTTACTCACTGGGATGAAAGACAAAAAAAATCCAAAAAACAAAAAAACAACAAAAAAAAAACCCTTCCGTTCCTACCACCAGGTCTCCTTCATGCTTCTAAGGAAATTCTGGAGTTTTCTGTTTTCGTTTTTTAAAAGAGAAAAACATGTGCTACATAGGTCTTAGCCACTATTTTTGTTTTTATCTTAATATTTAATTAGAAGTAGCTACAAATAACTAGTAAAATACACTAAAGCCTTAAATTTGCATTTCTTTATTGCTGGGAAAGCTGTTTACCGACTAGGATGACCTGTATTTATCTGAAGCTGCATTTATAATTGCATTGCCCTTTCCCCCTTGATGTGTGAGAGATTTACTTAATTAGCATTGATTCCTTGTCTCAAAGGACTGAGAATTCTGACCAGAGCTTAGGTGTAAAAGATGGTATAAAAGCAATGTTATTGCTTTTCTAATTTGGCTAATGAATCGGCTTTATAGAAAAGCATCTTTCCATGACACTTGGTAATAGAGCTTGGGATTTGCTGATGTTGGACGAGGTTGAAGTTTCATTTTTGTTAAATTTTTGTCTTTCAGCATATGCTTAAATATCACCTCAGATAAAGGGAATTTTCCTCCCTTAGACTTATAAAGTTATTTTTTTTCTTTGTCTTTTTTTTTTCTTAACAAAGGAAACAGATGAATAAAGTTCTTAGAGGACTTGAAAAGTATACCATAAAATACAATTTGAAGGTGCAAGGGGAAATAAATGAGCCTCGGGTCTAAAAACTGGATAGAGTATGCATTTATTTTAGTTTGACTATAGACAAATTTTAGTGAAGTTGATGATTTTTTCACCTAATGTGAAGGTAGCAGAGAGACTCAGAGGTGACTGATATTGCAAGGAGAAAAATGCTTAATGATTATAAATGCATAGCTAGAAATAGAGTTTACACAAGCCTAACCATACAGATTAATCTAACTGACCTTCTCTAATACCAATATAAGAAAGTATTGTCAGAATCTCTAAAACAGTTTTTTTCTTATGCAGGTGGAATGGACTCTGTTCATGTAGATCAAGATAGGTCCCCTTAACTCTCAAATATTTCCCAGTAGTTCAGGGATGGTAATTGTCTTTTTGCTCACATCTTTACCCGATGGCAGTGAGATTTGAGAACAGCCTCAGATCCTGAATGCTGGACAAACTCATCAACTTGGAGCTAAGGGATGAAAACAAAACACCTTTCTTTTTTTTTTGGAGACACAGTCTTGCTTTGTTGCCCAGGCTAGAGTGAGTGCCGTGGCGTTAGCCTAGCTCACAACAATCTCAAACTCCTGGGCTCAAGCAATCCTGCTGCCTCAGCCTCCCAAGTAGCTGGGACTACAGGCATGCAGCACCATGCCTGGCTAATTTTTTCTATATATATTAGTTGACCAATTAATTTCTTTCTATTTATAGTAGAGACGGGTCTCGCTCTTGCCCAGGCTGGTTTTGAACTCCTGACCTTGAGCTATCCGCCCACCTCGGCCTCCCAGAGTGCTAGGATTACAGGCGTGAACCACTGAGCCAGGCCCAAAACACCTTTCAAAGAGGGGAGGGTTTGGGTTTGGTGTTTACTAGAGTGCACGAGACAACTCCAACCGGGATTCTCAAAGCAAAAGGAAAGAGAGTGAAAGAAGGATTTTACCCTTTAAATCATTTGTGATTTTGTGTGGTTTTTGCAGTGGATCTCTTGAGCCTGTCAGCTGCATGCGATGCCTTGGACCAGCACAACCTCAAGCAAAATGACCAGCCCATGGATATCCTGCAGATCATTAATTGTTTGACCACTATTTATGATCGCCTGGAGCAAGAGCACAACAATTTGGTCAACGTCCCTCTCTGCGTGGATATGTGTCTCAACTGGCTGCTGAATGTTTATGATACGTATGTATGGCAAGTTTTTTTTTGGGGGGGGGCTTTGTCACAGGAGGCTTAGCTTACAGAATGATGACAGTGTAATTAGCATTACAACAGGGCCTCAGAAGCTGTGGACCTAATGCTATCCCTGTGACAAATTATTTCTGCATTTATATGACTTGAAAAATATTTTGATAAGCTAAAATGTAAGAGCCAGAAAATAGATTGCTCTCAGATTAGAAAACAAACAAAACCCTGAGACACTCATTTTTCAAATAGTAGAATGAGTCAACATGTTGCCATTGGTTCTTTCCCTTTCTCGCTCATGTATTTTGGAATTCGTCCATGTACTTCATGGGTGGTTCCCTCTCACTGGCAGGAATGGATGCCTTTCTAGAGATGCTGGCACACCTGTCACCCGATCAGAATTGTCTTAGCTGATACTTAAGAGAATTTTACAAAAAGATTATGAATTGATAAACCAAACAAAATGAAAACAAGCCCTTAATGCAGCAAACTCAGATGCTAAAGCTGAGAAAGTTTTTGTTTTGTCTTGATTTGGGTTTTAATAAGGTTTTATGAAGTTTCAGTTTGGCACCTCCATTCATCACTCTCTTACAGAGCAATTGTTTATTTCTTTTGGATTGCACACAAGAGCTACCCCCAGTTCTAATTTTTTGTGTTGAGCTTAATGAAGACAATTGAGGAAAGTAGCAGAAAGAATTGGTTTTGATTTTGACTGAATTCTTCTTAGACCTCAAAATTATTACATGCCTCATTTCACACACATCAAGAACATATTCTAATTTGGAAATCTGGGAAGATTGTCTGAAAGGAGTTGTATATCAACTATTTTGCCTTTTGCCTTTGTTGTAGACCTCTACCATCTTCATTAAAATGTATACCTTTTTTTCTTTGTTATTTCGAGAAGGTATTGCTTTTTAAATTTCAAGATCACCAGGTTATTGAATTTGTGATAACTACCTACCAAGTCCTTAAACATGTTAGATTTTAATTATGAATTATATTTATATTTGTTTTGATAGGGGTTTGTATTCACATTTTGCCTCAAATATATTTTGGCTGTTTTCCTTGGAGATGATGTATGAATGGATTCTGAATATATAACTTCTACCCACCTAAAAATTATGTAGGGATAGTGGTAACTCCTTGAAGACCTGAATTACTGTATAAAATTTATTTGTTAAACTTTTATTTGACTTTTCTTGAGATGGAAAAATATAAAAACATCTTCCAATGATAAGAGTTTTGTTAATGCATTAGGGTCCAGGATTCCTCTTTGACTAAGGGATTTAATAAATTGTATTAATAATGGTTGAAAGTTGAGCCTATTGTTTACCAAAAATAACCATGATTGGGACCATGACTTTGTGATTTGGAAGTACTAGATGGAAAAATTATTCTAAAATCTTTTTTTAACCATTATCTAGTTGGTTTCCATAATAAAACAAGAAACTGAAAAATTATTGAAAGACATTTTCTACAAAATGGAAAACTTTTTATTTTTTCCTATGGATAAAATAAGCTTGTTAATAATGTTGTTATGTGAAATACTTTATTTCAGCTTTCTATATGTAGAGTGAAAGCATATCTATATTAAAACATTGATATAGCAATAGTTACTTATAAATTTCTCTTTTTTTAGAGCATATATTTGAATGTTCTCTAATAGACTGTGTCATATTTTTCTTATGGAGATAAAAGTTTATATTTTGTATTATGTGTCATGTGGCCTGAAGAGATTAATTTTCTTCTCAGTAAGGGGCAATATGATGAAAATCTGAAAGAGAGCAGAATAGTTAGTTACTATTTTTTTGGCTTCAGTAACCAAAGCAGGTAATTTGCTTCAGTAACCAAAATAGCTTAGCGCATAGTAGTAATTCTTCTATTTACTGACTTAAATCAAGGTGGCTCTCCATAGAGGAATAGGAGATGTTTTTCCTGTTTTATATACAGTTACTCTTACAGTTCAACTAAGGGCTTGTAAGAGTTGAAAACTTGGTAAACATTCATTAGTCGAGTTAGTCAAATTTCTGTTGCATTCTAGGTTCTTTTCCTTTTATTTTTTTTATTTTTTATTTTTTTTTGAGACAGAGTCTCACTTTGTTGCCCAGGCTAGAGTGAGTGCCGTGGCGTCAGCCTAGCTCACAGCAACCTCAGACTCCTGGGCTCGAGTGATCCTGCTGCCTCAGCCTCCCGGGTAGCTGGGACTACAGGCATGCGCCACCATGCCCGGCTAATTTTTTTTTATATATATATATCAGTTGGCCAATTAATTTCTTTCTATTTATAGTAGAGACGGGGTCTCGCTCTTGCTCAGGCTGGTTTTGAACTCCTGACCTTGAGCAATCCGCCCGCCTCGGCCTCCCAAGAGCTAGGATTACAGGCGTGAGCCACAGCGCCCGGCCTCCTTTTATTTTTTTAAATTTTTTTGAGACAGGATCTCCCTCTGTCACCCCAGGCTAGAGTGTAGTGACATCATCATAACTCATTGCAACCTCAAATTCCTGGGCTCAAGTGATTCTCCCACCTCAGTCTACCAAGTAGATGGGACTACAGATACACGCCACCATGCCTGGCTAATTTTTCTATTTTCTTGTAGAAACGGAGTCTCTCTCTTGCTCAGACTGATCTCAAACTCCTGGGCTTAAGCGATCCACCCCCCTTGGCCTCCCAAAGTGCTAGGATTACAGGTGTGAGCCACTGAGCCCGGCCTAGGTTCTTAACATTAATAAAACAACGGTCCATAGAATTCCCATATCCAGGGCTTTATTCTTTTTTTTTTCTTTTCAGGACTTTATTCTTAACTAGAAGTGTTTATTCTCTAGGAAAGTGTCAGTAACTGTTTTCTGGTTTGATTCTTCATCATAGGGGACGAACAGGAAGGATCCGTGTCCTGTCTTTTAAAACTGGCATCATTTCTCTGTGTAAAGCACATTTGGAAGACAAGTACAGATGTAAGTCATGTATACTAACTCTGTATTGTTTTATTAATGTTGCCTAATTACGCCAGTTCTAGATGGGAAATGACATACTATTCTTATTTGACAGCAGGTTCCTCATGTAAGATGTAGAGTTGCTTTTAGAGTGTCATAAAATTTGGTTTGTGCCATTTCCTGTCAAACATTAAATTGCAGGTATTTAAATAGAGAATGGGGATTAACTTCTCCAGTCCGAGTATTATTTTACATTACATTGATTATGTCTGAATAAAACACATGTTCCTAGGGGATAGGGGATAAAGTCTGATTTCCTAACCCCTTTCTATAAGTCAGAAAAATAAATGTGAAGGTTTAATCCCTGCACTTGCCTAGTCTTTGGATTCTTATTTAAAGAATACTATCTGGCATTCGTGTTCAACAAACATTGTTTATTTTATAATCATCTTACTGCAAGTTGTACTGACACATCCAATTCCATGACGTGACTAACATTTTATTATTTGAGAGATGGATAGCTTGCCATTTCTTAGAGGGCAAATATACACCAACCTTAGAATTTCTTTTTGATTAGCCATTGAGTTCTTCTGCTTAAAAATTATAAATCCAAATTAAAAGCAAATGCTAGAGGAGTGATGGTTTAGATGACCAAGTGGCCATATGTTCTCATTATGAAGGACTGTACTTGGTTTTCCCCTTGAAATGCTTGTAAGAAATTTTTTCAGTAGGAATGTTAAACAAACCTAGCCTATTTTGTCTCATCTCTTTTCCCCTAAGGCCTAGCCATACATGTAAGGAGATGTGTGTGCTGAGATTAAGGACAGGCAGGAGACAAAAGAGATTGAATTCCTCCAAAGCTGCTCTGTGTCCTCCTGTTCAATTCTCCTCCAGGAGTAAGCCACAAAATACACAAGCCATTTTAGCTCTTACTTTTATGTAGTTTCCACTGGAGTTTTCTCATCCTAAGAAAAACAACTGAACAGCTTTTGTTAATTATTTTAAAATCTATTTTGGATAAGACAGGATATTTCTGTGTGCTTTCCTCCTTTAAATATTGTAGTTACTTATTATAGCTTAGTTTTTAATCTAATCTTATCAATAGCATAGTACTAGCACATTGTAAATACTAAATTGAATCATCAAGGGAGCTTCGAGCCTGTGTTTCAAATAGCTACTAAGAGGGAAAATGTTTTTTGGTTGGTGAAACAAAAATAACTAACTTCAAAGTGATATGTTTGAAAATAATTCATAACTTTGAAAATACACGTCTATGTATCAGAGGGATGGTGAAAGTCTGTGCATGGGATCTCAATTTCATGAGTGCCGTCTTAGACATCTAGTTAAAATGTTTAATTTCCTAGAGTTTAAAGTGTGTTTATGGCTACAAAAAGCTTTCTTGGATTTACTTGTTTTGGGTGACTTCTAGGTGAATATAAGGTATGATTAAAATGATTTTATTTTTGAGAACAAAACGTACATTGCAATCATTGGATGCATTCAATCTGTCAGCCACATATATTGGGCACCTGCTACCCACTGGCACTGGGTACTGCTATTCTATTGTAGATGCTTCTGGCCCACAGTTGACCAAGATGTGTTCCCTGCCCTCAAGGGAATATCAGTCTCCTGCCAAAAAGACAGATACATGTTAAATTAATGACAGTGTGACATGAGATGAGCTAATTTCAAACATGCACAGAATCCTGCGGGAACACATACATGATGGACTAGAAGCTCAATGATCTTATGACTCCATAAAGAAGTCCAAATTGTGGTATATTCTTGAATCTCTGATGAACAAAGGGGATGATGCTTTGGGCCAGTTATATGTCTCTAAATGCTAAAACGTTTATTTTATGATAGTGGTTACATCCTATATATACACAATATTTCCCAAGGAATTATGTTCTGGCTTAGGAAAAATTCAGGTGTCAAGGGTACATGTAAATTTGCATCTCTTGCAAGACTGTAGTTTATGTAAAAGCTGTCACATTTCGTATACACACAGTGATGATTAACTTTGTCCATAAAGATAATAAATTTCCAGATTAGCACAAATCAGAAGTAACCTCTCTCTGTGGAAACACTGGCTACTCTTGAGAATTGGACTGGTGGTTGAGTCAGACGTTATGTTCTGCTAGCTTCTTCCTGGTGCTGTGTTTTGATTGTTGCAATTTTCTTCTTCCTTTTATAGACCTTTTCAAGCAAGTGGCAAGTTCAACAGGATTTTGTGACCAGCGCAGGCTGGGCCTTCTTCTGCATGATTCTATTCAAATCCCAAGACAGTTGGGTGAAGTTGCATCCTTTGGGGGCAGTAACATTGAGCCGAGCGTCAGGAGCTGCTTCCAATTTGTAAGTTATTCACCTTTTAAGTAACATATTTATTCTTTTGTATTTCAGAACTGAATAAAAAACAAAACCTACAGAGCATCAGTTTCTCACATTAGCTCTTCTGTAGGCAGTAGGTATGGGATTTGGGATATTTGGAATCTCTGTAAGAAGCAGCTTCTGGGACTCTGGCTTTTGGGAGAGAAGACAGTGCAGAGGATAAAAAAGAAATCTCCATCTGCAGCAGGGCCCGCCTGGTTATTAAGGTGCTGGGAAAGAAGGGAGTCTGTAGTGGTTCAGTGAGGGAGGAAATAAATCTCCAGCCACAGAAATCCTTTGTAAAAAAAAAAAAAATGACCTTTGTAGGTTTTGTAGGTTAGTCTCTTAGTTTTCCCCCCAATTCTATCATTATAGTCTCCTTTTCAATGGCTGTTGGTAAATCATGAACACAGCTATCATATTTTTTTAAAAAAATTATTCCAAGGCCCCTATGGTGTCCCCCATAGTGTTACAATAAGATCAGAGGTTTGTACTCTCTGCTAATGTCCGTCACTAGTGGAGCTTACTCTACCATGCTTGTCCATTCTCTTTCTTATCTGGTCCCATTGCTTTTTCTCTATCCTACCTTTGCCACACTATAATCAGTGCCCCAGAAACGCTGTCTTCTTCCCAAATGCCTGAGTGCTCCACTGATAGACATTTAGGTAGTTTCTATTTTTGATAAGGTAAGTAATGCTACAATGAACATCTTTATGCATTGGCTTTTTACTTTGAAGTTTTTTCCTTAGGATACTCAGGAGTGTTGTTGCTAGGCAAAAGAATATAAACATTATTGTGCCTTTTGATACATATTACCCAGATAACTTATCTTCAAAAGTTGTTTCTAACTGTAATGCCACCAGCACTGAGGGAGTAAGATATTTGCAGTAACAAGTTATTCATAGTGTTTTATGTTTGTTTGTTTTTTTCCTAAATGCTAACAGCTATTTTTTTTTTGTATAAGGTTTCTCAATCCATTCTAATTCCATTAACAATGGCTGAGATTTATAAAATGGAACTAGCTGTAGAATTAACTGGGCTAGACCTGAAGTCTTTGACCACAGACTAAGATGAAATTGCAAAAAGTTTCCTAGGCAGAATGCTGTGAATATTTATATTTAATAGGTATTTAAAGCAGTTTGAATATTTATTTAATAGTTAATTGGACAAATTGAATGCACACATAATAGACCCACTTATGTGGATCAATATATACTATTTGGATTATTTTGCCAAAGTTATGGCAAATTAGCTGTAAACATAAAATAGATGTGGAAAAATAAAGGCATTTTCCATCACATACCTAAACCATCCACAATTTGAGTAGACTACCATTATCTAGATTTTTTTTACGCATTGCTGTATTTATTAATATTTCTACTCCAGAGTATAGACACAAGTAGCTTTTATACAATGAATATTAATGGCCACAAGTAATCTAGATTCATTTTGTTTTGTTCAAGTCTAATTATAAAACAACTTGCAATGACATCAGATTTTTCCCATCGTTTTCCCTTTAGTCAAGTTTCAATGACTTTTTGAGTTCTAATTGTGAAACACACACATATTCATATATACATATATAAACACATATGTGTGTGTATTGTGACTTGGGTTGATGGTAAGAGTCAGAACACAAACCTGTTGATGGGCTTCTTTATTCAGTTATAGTCCTTACTGCAGAGCATACTGGGCTGTGTTCAGGGCTGGCTGGAGGCTTTGCATCCTCATGCCCCCGAGTACTGACTCATCGGGCAGCCACCACCACCCTCACTGCAGCCTCTGGCCCTCTTGGATTTGGTTGTCAGGGTAAGGGGCTGCTGAACAGAAGCTCTGCTTACCCTGATGCTGCCCGCTCATCAGGAGACCAGTCTACCCCACCTCTGCTTGTTGCATCCTTTTACTGGCTACTCCCTCTTCTTCAGGAATATCTCAGGTTACTTCCCTGTCTCTGTAATTGCAACACTCTCAGCGTCAAAACTTTGAACTCGATCCATCCTTGCATATTTATTGAACGCCTCCTGGCTGGCTAGCCAGTCTCCAAGCTCTTTGAAACATATTTTGTGAGAATGGGGGGTAATCAGTCAACCTATGAATACTAATAATAGGTGGCTTTTCATTTTCTCTCTACTATTCTGTATTTGCAGAATTTTCTTATTTGAACATTTATAACCAGAAAAAAATTGCCAGGCATGGTGGTGTGCACCTGTAGTCTCAGCTACTCAGGAGTCCGAGGCAGAAGGATCACATGAGGCCAGAAGTTCAAGGCCAGCCTGAGCAATATAACAAGACCCTGTCTCTAAAAAAAAAAAAAAATGATAATAATAATTTTAGAAAAGGAAAAAAATCAGTAAAGTATTACTTTTTGTTTCCTTTAAAAATTTTATAATGCTGAGAGAATATACCTTTTTTTTTTTTTCCGGGAAAGAAACAGTTTTTCTTTGGTTCCTTTTCATTGCTATTCTTACGCTGTTTCCAGCCCTTCTCATCACATGCACAGATTATTACACTAGCTTCCTAGCAAGCCTCCACTCCACACCCTGGCCCCTTTCATGTGTCTTATTGCCCTCATACAACTTGTAGTAGAAAGTATTCACGGTATGACACCATCCTTAAAAATGATCAGTTTCTTTCCATTGTCCACTTAATAAACCCTAATTTCTCTAACTCTCAGATCTTTCCTAATGTGGCTGCATAACTGCCCATAGTTTGTTTTCAATACCATGAAACAGTTTCTCCTACCATTTGTACTATCATAAATAATATTGTTACTGTTGCAACTAACAAAACTTTACCTTTGTTCACATGAATTCTCACTTAATCCTCACCAATACTTTGAGGATAGAATGGACAGGCTTTAGGGGTTTGTTTTGATTGTTGTTTACGTGAATGAACAGCTTGTCTGTCCCCTTAAAGTCCCTCAGCTGGTGGAAGAGTTTGGTTCTTAGTTCTCTAAGCCCACCCCACATTTACCACCTCATCCCCAAATATGTAGTTTCTGATACTTCTGCTTTCCAGCCTCCCAAAGTGAAAACACCAGACAGTTCTCCTGGATCCTGAGTAGAATAAGAGAAGCCATAACAAAACAATAGACATAGGAGAGACAACAAGAGTTGGGGGGAAGAGGAATGAGTTTGATGTATTGGCAAATTCGATGTTTCTAGTAGGATATCTTGTGCATATTTTGTATGTATGGCGCCAGATGAGGCTTACATTACTTAGATTTGGAGAGTTTATCAACTTGGAGTAATTTGCAATCAGGCTGAGTGGATCCATTGTATATTCCTACTTCAGAATACATGTCCTGGCCTTGGCATACTTTTCCTCAGGCAGGTGCTCTGAAGGTCACCTTGCTGTTCGCTGTGCAACGTGCATACAAGTACAATGTTTGCTGTAGGGAAAGATAACAGGAGTGAAAATGCCCTCTGCCCTTTGTTTGAAGTATAAAACCTTAGGAATGGGGCAGGGCTGGCTCCTTCAGCAAGCTTGTGCTCAAAGGCTGCTATTTCTACCAGCCTACCATAATAAAGTACTTGTTTCTCCTACAAATGCATTCCTTGCATCGCAGGTTTTATTTCCTTTGTTTTCTTGTCACCAACTGCAAAACTTACTTTTTTTCAAGTTAGTGCAGTTAGAAAGGTACTGAATCTTTTGAGCCAGACAAGGGCCCGATAGTGGCGAAAAAAGAGGTGCGTTTTCATGTGCCACACTCCTTGGATGATCTCTTAAAGGTTTCCTCAGACTTCCCACTAACTACTTAAAAACAGAAAAAGAAATCTCTCAACAGGTCTAAATAAAAATTTTTGTATATTTAAAAATCAATATAAGTCCTTCAAGGAATTATCCATTAAGCCAGGAAATTAAGTCATATCTGTGGATATTAAAAAGGAATATTCACTATAAATTTACAGCTTCGATAGTGGTATCTTGGCTTATACTAAATGAGGCAACCAGCTATGTTTCCACATTAGTACCATAGTGCAGTCAACACATTTACTGAGAAAATGACTCTCTTGGTAGTGGTAGAAGTAAAATTTTGCAACTGGTTGGTTCTAGAAATATAGCTTCAATTAATGCATTGTCAGGTTGTTCCTCTTTCATATTTCATGGAAACAGCCCTGTTGAGAGAATAGATTGATCTTTGTGACCTTAGTAAGGCCAAGCCTGCACTGGTGAATGAGTCAGTCACACAGACTGCCCAAAGGAACCTTGTGGATTGTCCACATCTCTCCTTTCGCAGATGAGAAAACTGAGGCCCAGAGAAGTAGAATGAATATATTCTACATCATACAGTTAGATCATGTCATGGCTTCTTTAGATACTAGACGGAACTAATGAAGTGTTTATGTGTTAATGTGACCTCTTATATGAATTTTAGAATATAATACAATGACATAGATAAATGAATACCCAACCCCAACACACGTGTGCATGCGTATGCATGTACACACAAACACACACACACCATTATTTAAAATATTCTATTCCTAATGCAGGTGTCTAATCTATCTTCAAATAAAACCAAGTAACACTTTTAGGAGTAAAAACTTTATACCATCATGTGCCAAATAAAGACGTTTTGGTCAACTACAGACCATATATACAACAGAGATTTAAAAACAGATGACAATGGAACTAAAAAATCCCTATCACCTTTTGACATTGTAGCTGTTATAACATCCCAGTGCAATGCGTTACTCACATGTTGTGATACTGGTGCAAACAAACCTACCACATTGCTGGCCGTTTAAACAGTAAAATAAATAAATAAAAGTTTTTAAAAACAGAAAAAAGGTTATAGAATGACGACATAAAAGAAAAAAATATTTTTATACTGCTATACAATGTGTTTTAAGCTAAGTGCTATTACAAAAGAGTCAAAAAGTTAAAAAAAATTAAAATTTTTATAAAGCAAAAAAGTTATAGTAGGCAAAGGTTAATTTGTTTTTGAAGAAACAATTTTTTAAATAAAGTCTACACTAATG